TGGTATTGTATGTTATGGTATAACTGTTTTTGTATGTTTTGGATCCAGGTTGTTTTTTTGAAGAAAAGCACCTTAGCTTTCCCCCTACAAAACAACTTATAAAGAGGGGAGGTGTTACATACAGCACTGATGTTACCTGTCTGTCATGGGTTTGGAGGGAAAGTTCCATCCTATGGGGAGCGGAAGGCGGGACATCAGGAGGAGGGGCTGTACTGTATATATATGTGGAGCTTGTGTGGAGAAGCTGAAGAAGCTGGAGAAGAGCTGAGAGAAGAAGCTTGAGTGGGAGTCTGTGTGTCAGACAGGGTACTACTGTGTGTCAGTCAGTACCAACCTGATAGGTTCAGGTGTCTGTAGGGTTAGCCAGAACTGATAGGTTCAGGGTCTGTGCTTTAGTTAAATGCGTTCTGTGTGAACCAAACTAGTGTATGTATGATTGAGACTAAGCCACGTTACTGTATCTTATTCATTTGATCATTTTATTTTCCCTGTGTGTTATGTAAATAAACCTTGTTCTTTTATTTGTTGAAAATCCATCCCTGGTCTGTGTGACTTCTTATAGGGAATGGTTGGTGGCAGCTTAGTGAAACTGTGGCATATCCCAGTAGGTCTGGGGTTGTCACAAATACCTCTTCCTGTTTCTCGGTGTTCCTAGAATGTAAGATGAGGTTTTACTGCCTTTTAGACAGATTGATCATTCAAACAGAAACAAATATGAGCTAGAACTTTTTCAAATCCATAGACTTGGATGGGGTTTCAGAACCAGCCTTTCATATGTACTGGTATGTAACATTTTATTTTATTTTAACATTCTCTTCTGGAGGTATCAAGATAATGGCTAAAAGAATACAAAGTCTTAGACACCAAAAGCTCAAAATCATTTATCACCAATCCTTAATACTGAACACACCGAGAATGCCATTCTACATTCTATTCCAGCCCCAGCAACGTTTTTTAAAGTTAAAAACAAATGAAACAAAGCAAGCTTCCCCTGATGTTAAGGTTGTTTCTCCCCCTCCCCCACATCCCATAAACAATAAGAATCAGTTCTCCTCTCCCAGAAACTTGGTAAAATGCCCACCTACCAACATGAGGTGGCAAATAGGAGGGCCTAGGAGAGAAGGGCTCTCCCAGAGTGCAGTAAACTATTTGAAAAGGTGGCACTGACTGGTATTCTACAATCACAGATGCTTAGTTTTTACTTACTCTGATGGTTTTCCAGGCCCACTGTTTTAATGTACTTGAAAAGCCAGAGCTTAAAAGGGATAATTTTTCATGATCCTACCCCTAAGATCAGGTCAGATGTAGCAAGATTAATGTCCACATATTTATAAACTGCAACTGTAACATTTAAAAGGTGGGTACCCACTTTAATATCCGCAACAGCTGAAATGGAAAATGCATTGATTTATAATGTATTAAATATATGAGTGATTTTCTATTCCTGTGTCTTTTATACAAGTAATGGCATGGTATTTGAGCAATGCATTTTCCTTCATTTTTCTTGCCATGGGAAATGGAGTGGAAATAGCCATTTTGACATATATGCACACTCTGCAAAGTTGCTCTGTCTATGGAACTGGTAAAGGGACCCTCTCTTTTTATTATAAGTGGTAAATCAACTGGCATCCCTGACAAAGGCGTAAAATATTTCCTCAAATATCATTGGACATTTTATTGGTCTATTTTTCTGTGCTTGAAATTGAAGGAAACAGCAGACAATGGAAATTTCTATACAGCTACTGGGGGGCATTTATCTAGCTGGGCTCCAGGGAGAAGCGGCTTGTGTTGTATATATGCATTAAGGTGCATTTATAACTGTATCCTCTGAAGCTAATGACAGAAATAAACTAGTTTTCTTGAGACAGAAAGGTCTGCTTGGGTGAAAAGTCACCGTATTACACAAGACATTTTTAATATGAGGAATTGCCTTACAGGAAGTTGGGAAATACCTTCTGTGGCTGTGGATAATTTATCCTCATTTTGTAAATACTGAAATCTGTAAATTAAAAATGAAAAATGGAATTAATTATTTTTTCGTTGTTGTTAAAGCATGGCATGTCCACATGTGTGTGCAAAACCTTTATACTAGGGCTTTTGCACACAGAAAGGACCAGATTGCTTTGTCGTCTGCATTTTTGTGTTAGATAAAAACAAGCACTTTAAGATATATATGATGTTTACTAGTACTTTACAGATCTCACATTTGGATTATTAAAGTAAGTGACTATTCTACCACACAGGGACAAAGAGACTACCACCGCATTGCAACTAATATTAATCAAGCTCATTATTTAAGGTGGCAAAATGCTACTATTTCAGAACATAAAGTCTGTCTAGGCTAGTATCAGTGTGTGGGCATGCTAGCAGGGGAAGGTTCCTCTTCTTTATCAGTTCTCCTTAGGACCTGTTGTTAGTGTTGAAATGTCCCACCTACCCAAAAGCTGCTGATTAAGGAAACAGGTGATCGTTTCAATCTTGCTGTCAAAGTGGCATCAGTGCAGTTGCTCAATAGTCAGTCCAAGAGTCATTCCAGGTTTGCTTCCTACTTCATTCTACCACCACATGCTTTTCAGTTACTGACGGGAACCCCATTTGTGATCACCAGGTGCTTTCATTCCACGATGCAATGAAGAAGGCTATTACAAAGCAACTCAGTGTCATGGCAGTACCGGCCAGTGCTGGTGTGTTGATAAGTATGGAAACGAGCTAGCTGGCTCAAGGAAGCAAGGGACTGTTAACTGTGGTAAGTGATGGCATGCTTCTCTCATAGACAGAATAGAACTCAACCTAGTGTGAGCTCTTGACTGTTGTGGCAAGACACGAGGATGAGTACAGAAATCACAGGATAAACACGACATGTGCCTTTATAAGACAAATCAGCTCATAAAGGAACCCTTTTTTTCTTGAGTGTGCAGGACAATATGAGCATGAGCACATCACATGCATGAGAACAACATGACAACATTAGATCTGTGTTCTCTGCTGTTGTAACAGTTTGGACTTAGAAACTGCAGTCATTTGTTCTTGGGTAAAATATGCTGTTGGGAAAATTATTATAACTTGATGCTTTGCATTCCGATTTTATAGAAAAACCAGTACTTATACAGTTACTTCACATTATGGTAATGTCCACTTTTTTAGGGTTTTTTTTACTGGCAGATGTTACTTGATAGCAAAATGTCCTGTTATAGGAAAAATAAGTTATTCAAACTTTTGTAAGCCAAGTACTAAGGAGGTTTTGATAACCAGCATCTTATTCAAAGTAGTGCCTAAGAATGCAGCCTCTCTTCTCCTGAATTTAAGCGCTGAAGGCAATTTTGGTGGTGGTTTTTCTCTCCCTCTAGGAAGACTAAGGAAATGAAAGGTAGTGACACTGAAAGTTTCTTTTGGAAACTCTTTCCATATTTGATTTGTCTACAAAGTAAGAAATCACTGTGGGTTTGCTGTGAGTCAACTTTATATTACAGATAATTGCTGAGCCACATTCCCATAGAACACTTCCAGTTTTTTAGGAAGTGGAGTCTGGGCCTGTAGGCTTTCATCACTGCCTGGGAGGGTGACCAAGTACCTCCAGAGTTCGTGTTGTAGTAACAGTGGATGTGCTGATTTTTAGAGCCACTTAAGGACAGATCCTGACGCTGAGGCTCCAATCCTTTGGCCATCTCATGAGAAGAGAAGACTCCCTGGAAAAGACCCTGATGTTCGGAAAGTGTGAGGGCAAGAGGAGAAGGGGATGACAGAGGACAAGATGGTTGGACAGTGTCATCGAAGCAACCAACATGAATTTGACCCAACTCTGGGAGGCAGTGGAAGATAGGAGGGCCTGGCATGCTCTGGTCCATGGGGTCACGAAGAGTCAGACACAACTAAACTACTAAACAAAAACAAGGTCATGGGGTGGGCAACTTCCAAAGGTCTGTAGGCCACACCCAATCCCAAAACACATATTGCCCCCTCATTTTCTTTATAAAATTGAGTTTTTAAAACCGAAATTTCCCCTTTGCACTCTTTGGTAATGAATTTTTAAAATAAAGACTTATGAGGGTGCTGGAACTTGAAATATACTAAAAAAAAATCATATTCTCAGTTATTCTGAGTCTCACTATGCTGAGACCCCCTTGCTGAAACTTTCTTTCCTCACCCCCATCCCAGTTGTTGAGCTCTTCATTGGAGGGCCTTTTCTCAGTCCCACCACTATCGAAGACACATTTTGCGAAGACTCAAGAGAGGATATTTTCAGTGGTGGCTCCCAATCTATCGAATTCCCTCCCACACAAGGCTAGGTTGTCCTCACTCCTTACAGTCCTTCACCTGGCAGATACTTCCTTTCAAAACCAGTGTTTGACCTTTGAATGCCATGGCAGGGTTGGAGTTTTTAGTAGGCAATGCAGCATATGTTTATTGGATATTTTTAAACTGTTCAAACTCTTGTTTTTAACTAGTGATTTTTAAAGCACTGTTTAGTTTTTATTGTAGGGATTGTAAGAATCCTGCACAGTGTAGTATTTTCTCTTATCTTTTTTTGGATGAGTCATGTGCAAGAAAAATCTGTGTAAAAATTGTAATGATATTGGTGTTTTTTCTCAGAAAACAGCAATCACAAAACTTCCAAGTAATCTCATGGAGTTTCCCACAAGACTTTTTTGGGGAGGGAAATTCTCAACCACAGAAATCTTGCTCTAAGAAGAAAAGAAGGAATTTTTCACCAACAGTAAAAGTGTACAAGATTCACATTCTTAGGTCCCCTCAAAAAATAGCAAAGTTGTCCCCACACCCCTTAGAGAGCACCAGGAGACATTTGAACCTCTGCGTTCAGTTTGAAGGTGGCTGTGCTGGGGAAGAATTCAGGCTTGCCACAAGTGGTCCATAGGATGCACATTGCCCACACATGTTGCCAATGGAACCTTAATTATCTCCCCACAATTTTACTTTTCCGTAATCAAATTTGTGCTATATTTTCAAAACTACTAATCAAGTAGATCTGCAGATGGGTACAACTGTATCAAAACAGAAAGGGTCTGTACAAGCAAGGTACACCAATTGCTTATAAGCATTTGCCAACCATTTCACTTTTGACTACATAGCATGGGCATTTTTTACAGAACCATAATTGTCTCCCCTGCTCCCCCCCCCCAACAACTAAAGGAAACAAACGAAACAATGAACAATTCAGCCTGTGCTTCTTGTGCAGTAGGAAAATAGTCCTTTTCTAAGGCACCCTCTTGTTTACTAGGACCATAACAGGTCCTAGGAGTATGTCTGGCTAATTTATACACTCTTTTGTGCCAAAGACCAAATCAAAATATACATGTATTAGTGTTATTTGTGGTGAGATTTTTTTTTATAAGGTTCAGAATTTACTGAGACCACCAACTCATTTCAGATCTCTTCGGACACTCCTCAGATGGTGGTGTCTTTCAATCCCCCTTGACCTGGCATGGATTTGAACCAACAGTTTAGAGATGTAAGGTTCTGTCTTCGGCTCTGGCTTCCTCCTGAAAATGCATGGTTTTGTGGGTGCAGCAGAAGGCTGTATGTTATTTTGAGTACCTGTTGTGATAGTCTCCTTTGTAAATATTTATATTTAAATTCAGACTTTGAGCAAGAAAAGAAAATGATTTAAGTGGTGTATGTTGCTGAAACTCTAATATCTTTGAATTCTACCATGCTGTAGAGGAAGAACAAGAAACATCGGGGGATTTCGGTAGTGGTGGATCAGTCATTTTATTGGATGATCTGGAAGAGGAACATGAAGCAGCGAAAAAGGAAAAGGAAGGAAAACAGAAGATCCATGTAAGAGCAGCTAATGATGACGATGAAGATGAAGATGACGATAAGGATGATGAAATTGGCTATATATGGTAGTTCCCATAGCTCTAAGGACTCATGTTTTGCACAGTATCACAGGTCATTTCCTATCTCCGCCATGGTAACTGAAGCATCCAGCATAACACATGAAGTTCTGCCTAAAACCCTACGGGGGCCATTCCCATAGACACAGTGATTCCCTGCTCCTCATTGGGCTTCCTTTTCACTTTGCTGCTGGGCATAACTCCATAAGCACAATGGAGATGAGCATGGAGTTCATGCAGATGAACTGGGAAAGCCTTGCATATGTAGAAACTCACTGTACGGGTGAGATGGCTTGTGTGTGGACACACACACATGCACATAAACACACACATTATACATACATACATAAATTGGAGCTCCCATGCCCAGCAAATTGCTGAATGGGAACAATTGTCTCTCTGGTTGATTTAATTTTCTACACTGTGTTTAATTTAGAAGACAGCTTTCACTCTCAGCTAGCTACTGTTTTCAGTAGCTGCAAAAAAAACTTCCTTCTTTACTGGCAGGGTGGCATATTTTATTAAGTCAGACTTCTGTAGTTTAATCTGTTCGTAAAGTCTGTAATTTTAAATGGAATACAAAACACAGCAGGGGGGGGGGGTCAGTAAATCTGGGCAACATTTCCAGACTCTTCTTCTCTTATCAGTGCCGAACATTTCAGCTAACTGATTATTTTTTTTTTAATTGTGCCATTTGTTAATAGTTACTACTTTGTTTTCCTCCTGGAATTGTTAAAAGCAGGTGGTGGTTTTGTCTGGCCATCTGGAACTTGTTGTAAAAGATCAAATCACCTTAGCTTCTTCTGCTTTGGCTTTAAGTCGGCATTTTCCTGCTTAGCTCCTCCTCACTCTCTTTTGAGAATAGTTGGCAGAGACATAATTTAAGCAGAACTCTGTCAAAGTTCTCCTCACTGCACAAGACAGAGTGTAGGACAAGAGCACAGCCGACCTCTTCTGCCACAGACCAGTATCAATTTGGTTTAAGTCAGTCAATACAATCTTGATTTTAAAAAATGTTGATTACACTCTGTACATGCATGCAAACCCACCTAAACTTTAAGAAGAGTGGCTTTTCAAGACATGAGAAGGAGGAAAACTTCATAATTGTGTTTCTCCATTTCTTTTTTACTCTGCAATTACTGTGACGGCTTGCAAGTCTGAGATTTTGCTTTGATCATGTTTGCACTAATGCTATGCAAGATGCTTCTGCTTCCTGAATAGCATACCGCTAGATTTGCTGAAAATGCTTTTTCTTCATTTACTCTAAATGATTTCCCATTTGGAAGCACTGAAGCTGTCAGAGGCACTAACCATCAAAAGTAATAAGCTGTCTTTCCTTTATTTTAAATTGTTAATATTTATTTGCTCTATTTTAAAAGAAAAGCATCCTTAGGCAGTTGTGCCCATAGTTCATATCACTTCTGGTTAATATAACATGCTGATAGTTACACTTATGAACCAGAAGCACATGATTAAAACTATTCCATAAGCTTCTCACAGATGGTTGTATCTCCATAGCAGCATTTCATTGTTCTTCATTTCTAGCAGGGTGGAAAAAAGAATGTGTCACTGCAGAGCTTTTTTCCCCCCACATAAGGACAAAACATGATGAACATGTATGAAGAATTCGGAGAGAAAATATATTCATAACAAGCCCATTTTTCCTCATTAAATTCAAGGGCATAACTGCAAAGAGGTCTTAAATTCTGGAGACACTAAGGCCATACCTGTTTTTCCCTATCAGGGCAAATTTAGTGATGTTATACCAGAAATGAACATGGCCTGTACACTTTAAAGAAAGCTTATATTTCTGTGAGAAAGTGCTACTTTTTTAGTGTGAATTTCTGTACAGTTTTCAGGCAACTGCACAGTGGTGTCCACCCCCAGATTGTTGTTGCTGTGTGTAATACTTAGCTTGTTTATGCCTTTTGCTTCTGGTGTGATAAAGGCTGGGGTTGCTTTTTTAACAAATGTGTCACAGACGGTCTGGTTGCATTAATGAACCCGTTAAACAGTAATGCCATGATCTTAATACATATTGCATTTTGCCTATTTCTGTTTCTTTAGATAGTCCCAGGAAGATTTAATTGGCCTTGTGAAGTTGTAATAAGCTCTTGCTGAGAAGGTGCCTCCTAGCTACAACCTTCGCCTATCTCTCAGAAACAATGGGTTCCAATTATCAAATGGGCAAAACTGTCCTTTGACTTGTTAAGGACCAATCCGGGCCACAGTCCACAAACTTACATATTCTTTATCTAAAAACTGAAGTAAATCTGTGGTACAGCTTTGCCCTTTTCATTTGTTTTACTCAGAGAGATGCAAACTGTGATTTGTGATGGTACACGTAGGGCGGCATCCTGTTGCCTAAAGGCAGAGAGGAAGGGAAATTGCATAGCCCCGCCCCACCCATCTTTGTGGCAGGCTTGACACTGTGTGAGTAGTTGTATGTCCAGTGCAAGAATGGGCACAGAATGGGTAGCTTACCAGAGCAGTTAGGGGTCACTTGTATGAGGTCTCTTCTACTCCATGTTTTGAACAGAGGATACTAGCCTTAATATTTTATTCATTTCATTTAACAAGGGATCCAACAAAGCATTTTGCCCTAATTGTCACTTCCTCTCTATTCCAACTCTTGGGGCAAGAAATGGAAATGGAGGTTTGCACTGGGCCTCCATGCCAAAAGGGATATGGGCAGCCATGCAAGAGGGGGTTGAGGGTACTCTGCCTTTTCGCCAACTCTACCCATCTCCCAGTAAAGCCATACATCTGCAGCACACTAAGGGAACAGCTGCTGGCATAGCAAGGGGGGTGCTGGATGATATCTTAACACAAGCATAGAGGTCACCCCAGTCCTCCAGCATGACATAGTATGAGGCATTTCAGAGAATCAGGCCATCACATTGTTACTGACCTATCTCAAAGGCTCATATTTCAAAGTAAGGTATTTAATGTTAGTGGGGACAATTCGATCAATGAAATTAAGGCTTCCAAACAAAAGTGATTTTAGATCACAAAGTATTTTTAGTGAAAACGTTTGGGTGGTTTGCACCATTCACTGCATTTGGTATTTCACTGGACAGCTACTGAGCAGAAATCACATAATGGTAAATAAGAAACTGCAACAGTGAGGTCAGTATTGCCATATGAACTGATACCATAATATCATAAAACCTGGAAAAGTCAAGTTCACTCTGGATGCAAATAGGGATGCTGTTGTCTGTTACGTATTTATGGGATGCTTTTTGTTACCCTTTGTTCACAATCTCTTTCTCTCTCAGACACACACACACGTATATTTTATTGTATCAGCTGATGCTCTCTGGATTGTGTACATATGTGTGTATGTGAATATTTCAAGCACATCCAGAAGGCCCAGTTGAACAGCATTATTCCCATGGAGCTGGCAACCAAATTATACTGAAGTGAAGTCAGTGACACTTAACGTAGCAGTGACTAGCCTGTCCCATTGATTTCTTCAGGATGTAACAAGCCTGATTGATCATAAGATTACAACCCCAAATGAAGTCAGAAGCACATTTTCTATTGTTTCTGCAGCACCAAAGCTCTGCCTTAGTGCAAAATTCAAGACAGGGATTTGGAGCCAAAATTAACTTTTCCATGCTCTGATTCAAATTCACCAATACATATTAGGGTTTTTTTAATTAATTTATTTATTTATTTAAAATATTTTTTTTACTCTGCCTTTATCCTTAAAAGGACCCCATGTGGCTAATTTTTGAATTAGCTGCTTTATTGTAAATCTTAACATTAACATTGCTGACACTGGTAAAAGCAAGTTTTCAGACGCATAGAGTGTAGGGAGGACGATTATTATCTGAAATAAATAATAAACATTAAAACATTGCCGTAGCAAAAATTGAAGGCGTTCTGACAACTGTGTCAGATCTTAGTAGCACCTTTAAAGGAAAGATCAGGCCTTTACACCAAAGATCAGGCCTTTACACCTCATCAACCTGTTACACTAATGTCAAAGTAGCCCTGTGATGTTGTAGTCCCTTTAGGAGCACTGGAAAGATGTAGTGACATTTTCTTCTTATGATCACGTTGAACTATTTGCTCCGCATTAAGAAGTACTTGATTTGAAAGCCACAGAAACTAGGAAAAGATGGTGAAGCAACTTTCTATGTGACATTTATCCGAACAAGTCTTTCGGGGTTTTGTTCCTGTCTCCGCAACTGAGCCATGGGAAGTTTGCTATCACACCACAGAACAAATACTGTCATTCATTTCTCATTAAATTCATGTGGGGAATATAAGAAATATAACTATTATCTTACCTTGCCCAACAGTTAATGGACCTCTTTTTCCTGCTTCTCTGAAAACTATTCTGTTTATAGCTTCAAATGAATTTAACTTCTACCAAGAAAAAAAAATACAACAATGATGTTTTGCCTTGCTACATAGGAAATGGGGTTCTTTTGTACAATAGTATTTGGTACAGTGGGATAAACCAGCAGTAGGTTCAAAGAGGTTGCTATCAACATTCATCTGGATGTGGTAAAGACCAAATCAGGGTGTGAACTTTGTTTTGAACGTACAGGCTCCATTCTTTTGCTACATGTGTTTATCATGTCAGTCACAAGAGATTTAAATACCACACAAATGGATTCTCTACTTACCTTCACCATGATTTTCTAATGCTACACTAGAAGGACTGAGAATATTTTCATTTCAATTTATGTTTTCCTTCAAATGATTAACATATTTTATATTGTACATTATATTGTGCAATAGCCCAACAAGAGAAACTTGGATTCCACTCTTTGTTACACATAACAAAGCAGTGCCACCTGGGGAGTCAACCTCACATCCAGCTCCTTTTGTGCAGTCCACATCTTAACCTATAGGCCCAAGGGGCAGAGTGTCATGCCCTGCAGGCATAGTGCACTGCACAGTCTCTGACTTGTATCTGCACTAAAAGGGCTTTGCTTATGCTTGTGCAAAGAGATGGCAAATGCCTCGTTGCGCACGTTCTGACCATTGTGTGACTGGGTGTAATGAAGAGATCTGCCACTCTCTGTGAGGCTCCCCTGCTGGAGAAGTTTTCCCAGACCCATCTTCTTTCCTGTCTTCCAGTGTGGTCAGTGAAGATCCATCTGACTAGGAGGATCCCCTTGAACAGCAGCATGCCTACAGAACACTGCTGCATGGAAGAATATCTGTGTTTGTCTGAATTCCATCCAGTTGACAGGATTTTTTCCCCCTTTCTCCTCACTTTCAGCCCTGATAAAACTCTTGAAGCCTCACAAGAATGACAAGTTCAGTGACAAAATACGACGGAAAAACCAAATGACTTGTGTGTGCATTTTCCAAAGGGCTATGCTTTCCTTCCCCAACTTTCATGCCACTGACGTTCATGAAACTTACTTGAGCATAAGGATAGAGGATCCCTTCCAAGTACAGTACTATATACTGTGTTATTCACTGAACACCAAACTATAGATTACTAATGAGCTATCATGAGAGCTGAAATCATTACAGACATATAATTTAGATGGTCATGTCTGAGCAGAAAAGAAGAAGCTTTTTCAAGCATTTGGAAACCAAGCAGAAGGCAAAGCATGCTAATTTTCAGGACTCGGAAAGTCAGAAAAGATCCTGCTGTGATAATCACCCACTTTCTACAATTTAAAAAAAAAAATCATTCTAATGATGGTTTATCTGTTACATATAGTTTGGCCCTGAGTGAGTATAATTCAGAGTTCAGTACAAAGGAGAAGACTAAAAAAAGATTCTAAATAATCATTAGGTATTGGACAAGAGGTTTTGCTTATTTTCAACCCAGGAACTCCAAACCATTTAAACCTTCCGCCCCTTCTCGTGCTTCAGTGGGATGATTTGCAGAACTGTAGATCAGTCTGGGGAGAAAAAGAGCCCAAAGTATAAACATGACTCACAAGTTCATATTATTTCAGAACTTGAATTCTAGTTTCAGGTAACAGCACTTGCAGCTGGTGTTTGGATAACATAACACATTTAATGATTTATATTCCCTCTACTCCAGGGAGTGGGCACTCCAGTGCTGCAAAGCTTTCTTTCCAGATCTTTCACACTGTTGAGTGTGACATTGACGATTTTACCCCATCTTTCTTCCAGTGAAATTTGTTGTAACAAAAAAGAAAGTAACATAATCTGCTACATTATATATCAGAGCACCCAGATGCTTTTGCACAAACATCTAATGTTGGAATTCTACATGTGCATTTAAATTTAGAATACAGCCACAGACAATTCATGCTATATACTGTTGCATGAGAGTTACCTTGATATATAAGGCTTGTGCAAAGCTCTCATCCCAATTTAACAAAGGAAGTGTCAATGTCAATTCAAGAACTCTCCTCAATGCAAAACAAAGTAAGCAATTGCATATTTTTACATATACTGTAGTAACATTAATTAAGCTGGGACAGCATCTTTATTACTTAAGTTAGGGTGGATACCTTTGTCCATTTTACACTACAAACTCGGCTTCTTTTTTTCCTTGGAGAATTGGCATGTGATGAAATGAATTTGTTAATAGCTCAACACACCATCCAATCTGCAACTAAGGATACAGTGATGGAAATTGTATTAGTATTTGTATAATTTGTAGTCACTAATTCCAACTAGTTTATGAAATGTTGGGGATAAATCTAAGTTGCACAATCATATTTGTCATCAGGCTCACAACCAAGAGACATTTTGTCAATTAGCCACAGTAGGTTATGCAAACCTTATGTGGGGATTATGGCCAGTAATTCCAACATGTGCTTAAGAATTTTTAAGGACTTGTTGAATGGTGGTCTATGTGACAAACCCAGACCTACTGGGATCTGCCACACAGTTACACTAAGCTGCCACCAACCATTCCCTGTAAGAAGTCACACAGACCAGGGATGGATTTTTGAACAATAAAAAGAATAAGGTTTATTTAAATACACACACAGGAAAATAAAATAATCAGGTGAATAAAATAAAGTAACGTGGCTTATTCTCACTCATACAAGCATACAGTTTGGTTCACCCAGAACCCTTAACTTGAAGCACAGACCCTGAACCTATCAGTTCTGGCTAACCAACAGACACCTGAACCTATCAGGTTGGTACTCTGACACACAGTAGTACTCTGTCTGACACACAGACTCCCACAACAGCTTCTTCTTCCCAGCTGCTGCTTCGTCACCTCCCAGTGTCTCTCAGCATCTCCACACACGCATCACATATATATACACTACAGCCCCTCCTCCTGATGTCCCGCCTTCCACTCCCCATAGGATGGAACTTTCCCTCCAAACCCATGACAGACAGGTAACATCAGTGCTGTATGTAACACCTCCCCTCTTTAAAAGTTGTTTTGTAGGGGGAAAGCTAAAAGTGCTTTTCACCAAAAAACAACCTGAATAAAATACACAACAACAGTTA